GAGAGAGAGAGAGAGAGAGAGAGAGAGAGAGAGAGAGAGAGATGAGCGATCCAAGATTGGTTGTCACTTACCTGTAAGGCGAGATTGCGGAGTCCGTTGGAGAAGGAAGATAGCGGCCATAGCCGCGGAGCTGTAACAGAGTACCGGAGGAGAGAGAAAGGGAGGACAGAGGAGGGACTGAGGAGAGAGAAGAAGAAGTGTGGAAGGAGGAGATCGAAGAGGAAGACGGACATAGCCGGGGGTGTGTATAAAAAAAAAAAAAAAAAAAAAGATAGAGAAGGAGAAAGAAAGTGAGGAAGGGGAAGTAGAGGGCGAGGGTGACGAGGGTAATGGTGCCGGCAGCCATAGCCGAGGTGAAGGGTTGACCGGGCGTTGACCGGAGCGTTGACCAGAGGGTTGACCAAGGGTTGACCAGGCATTGACCGAGGGTGTTGACCAAGTGTTGACTGGGGGTTGCCCGCGTTGACTCGGCGTTGACCAAGGCGTTGACCGGGGCTGCTGACCAAGATTTTGACCAAGCTGGAGTTGGTGATATCTCGTTGACCCCTCAGCCTATCCCCTTACCCTGTGGATGTGCACTTACCCCACGGTACTTGCTGAGTTGTCTGTCCACTCTTTCTGCATTGAGTCTCTTCTATCTTAGGTGCTAGGACTCTGTGGATGAAGGATAGGGCCTTGCTGCCAAACCTACACGGGCTTAGTAGGACCAAAGCTCTACTCTGGCACTTGGAGACCTGGGCATGAGCGGCGAGCGCTCGTTAAACAACTCGTCTAGGCCCAATGACCGGTACTGTCCGGCAGGTCTACTGAGTTCAGTGTAGAGGGTCTGAACTCCAGGCTGTAGGCTGAAACGAGGGCCGTCTTTAAGTGTTGAGGCCTGGTTGAGCCACTCCCCTACCGGACCTATTACAACTGATGATCTGTGTCGGACGACTCGGCTGTCCCGAGGGATACGAACCCCTCCAAGGACCGGTACAGACCGGCGGGCTGCTCGGTGTGGCACAGTAGGCTGGAACGGCTGAGTTGTGGGCTGAAATCGCCAGGAAAAACCAAGCTGATCACGTCGTCCTGTCTGCGACGTTAAAGAATTCTTGAGGAGTTACGCGGGATCTCCTTAAATGCCTCCAGATCAGCTTTTGGTTCAGTAGTGACAGCCCTAGAATAAGTCTTGGGTTAGTGACCATCGTTGACAGGGTCTTACCCTGTGGTCCTTAGGAAGTCGGTCAGTAGGTTTATGTCCGGGTAGGTCCAAGTGGTGAGGAGTGGGACCTTTGTCGTGCACCTGACACCACCATGGTAGACACCCGGCGCGGCACCTCCACTATGCCGTACACAAAGGAGGAGGAGGCGAAGATGGCCGCCATCCTGCAGGAGAGAAAGGAGAAGAAGGAGGCCAAGAAGAAGGMYTTGAAGGARGAGCAVGCRRCCAAATTGAAGAAGATGGAAGAAGAGATGGCCAGGGAGAAAGAGAGGTTAAAGAAGGAAGAAGAAGAGAAACTGAAGGCGGTGGATGAAGAAGAGGACGGTCCGCCACTGCAAAGGAGTAGTGGGCAGCCTAGTAGTAGTACCGGTGGAGACCTAGACAAGAGGATATCTGAATGGGTTGCCAACCTGACTGTGGGAGAAGAGGAAGAGGTTAGTATGTATATCCTGCAGGATCAGCAAGAAGCTGCCATGAAGGCTTGGGATGCAGAGAAAGACCCTCTTAAGCGTCAAGCGTTGGAAGACGAGAAGAGGATGGAATGGAAATTAGCGGTGATGAGGGAGAAGAAGAGGAGAATTGACAAGGCAGCGGGGGCGGCAGAGGCCTTAGAGGAAGTGAAGAACATAGAGGCGCAATTAGCCGCCCAGCCCGATCCCCCGAATCAGATGTGAGTCATAACTCGGAGCATCGCATGCTTGGCACGGGTTCAGGCAGACCAATATGACTTTAGCAGAAGTCAGGACATAGCTAAGGTCACCGCCTCGACAAGACTGAGCGGTTCTGCGCTGGCGCCATTGAAGGCGTCAAGGCGGTAACTCCCAAGGAGGAGGAAGCACGTCCTCCTCGCCGGGAGCCTGTCAAAGTCAAGTTCCCCGATTCCTACAGTGGGAAGAGGGAGGAAAACTTTGACAATTGGGAGGCCAACGTTAAGACCTATGTGCACTTGCAACAGGTCTCCCCAGATCAGCAAGTCCTAATTGCTATCCACGCGCTGAGAGATGAGGCCGCCAGTTTTGCAAGGTCCCTAGTTCGCGCTGCCAACTGTAGTSATGATCCCGTTGCGTACTCCTCATTTACGTCCCTCACCGAATTCCTGAAGTTGCTGCACGAGCGATTTGCTAATGTCGCTCGCAGTGTCAAGRCCTCAGACAAGCTCCAAACCATCCATTCTCGTAAATGGAAGAGTGCCAAGGCGCTCAAGGGTACAATGGATGAGTTGGTGGCCGTCCCTGACCATGGGGTCACAGAGGGCCAGTTGGTCAACCTCTTTTACCGGGCTATGCCCGAAGCCTTTCGAGGGCAGTTCTTCGTGAAGAGCGAAGACCCTGCCACCACTTACGATTCCCTTAGTCGTGAGGTGGTGGCTTTTGAAGCGAAGTCAGTGTCCCTCTCTACCTTCTGGCATAAGGATTTGGACAAGGGAAAGCAATGGAAAGGCCGCACTATCTCAGGGCAGGTAAAGACCAAGGATAGCCTTGTCCTGACTTTAGATGAGGGTAGTGTGGATGAGATTCCCTACGATCAGATTGAGTGGGGGCTAGAGGAGGCGGTCAGCGGTGTGGGCCAGGGGAGATCCTACGCTGTTGTCGCGGCCGGAGGGAGGCCGCAAGGAGGAAGAGGCCAGGGCCAAGGGGGCCGGGCCTCAGGGAGCCGGTTTCAGGGCCATCAGGGGGTTGGCGGCAGAGGAGGAAACCGCCAAGCGGGAGGGAGGGGTCAAGGTCCTTCGCAAAACCGTCCTAGGAATAGGTCTCCCTATAGAGTAGGAGGATGACACCCAGGGCTACCTCAGGGTAGGCCTTGGGAATCTTTGGGTCTGGACCAGGACTTATGGCAAAAACGATTGGACCGGGGTCAGTGCATTTTCTGCGGTGACCCGGGCCATATCATCAAATATTGTCCCAAGTATAGAGAGACCCGAACAGCTGCCCAAGGGCCAAAAGGCAGCCGCCGGTAGGGGTAGCAATTGCCCCTACCACTAGGTCATGAGGGGAAAATAGCGCTAGCCGGCAGGAGACTCCCACACCACATGTGCCTACGGCAGAGGTTGCAGGCCGGTGTCTAGACAACTGTCCCGAAACTGCTTGTGTTAGAGTTTCACTAGACACCTCCCTCACAGGCGTGGCCGAAGAGTTGAAGGAGAGGATGCCCGCCTGGGCCAAGATGAAGAAGGAGAACAAAGGGCAGYTTATATTACTAGATACAVARATYTTTAGAAGTAGAGTAGGGGCCCTAGTAGACTCAGGGGCCACTCGCAGCTATATTAGTAGGAAAGCGCTGCAGAAGTTGAGGCTAGGACTTAAAGTCCAGAAACTGACAGACCCCATAGTTAGTATCCTCGCGGACAATCGTACTATGATTGTAGAGGATTACGTAGAGGGAGTCCAGGCGTATTTCCGCCTAGAGAAAGATGGGAAAGTGGAGAAGGTCCTCCACTCCCTGACTCTCCTCGTAGAGGACAGCCTCCCATTTGACATTGTCCTAGGAATGGATTGGGGAGAGGCAGTCGGGGCCACGCTCGATTTGAAGGAGCACGAGTGTAGGCTCCCTAGTTCGTCAGGCGAGGCCAAGACTGCCCGCCTATTCCATGTGTCAGGGGTAGAGAATTCCTTGGCGCACTGCTGCCTTAGTGCCCCCGCGTTCGACAGACTGGTGAAGAAGGAGGGATTGGAGGAACAGGTCTTTGTTGCCTATGTTAGGCCGGTGACTGAGCCTACGAAGGAGAAGCCGAGGGACCCCGCGATTGCCAAGCTGCTGGAAGAGTTTAAGGATTTGACTGAGCCGCCGACAGGCACGGTGCCGCGGCCCATCCAGCACCGTATTGAGATAGAGCCTGGCAGTAGAACTCCTAAGGGTGCGGTGTATAGGATGTCCCCGCGGGAGTTAGAAGAGCTGCAGAAACAGTTGGACGAGCTCCTTTTGGAGCCCCTGTTCTCTTTGTACCTAAGAAAGAGGGAGAGCTAAGGATGTGTATAGACTATAGGGGTCTGAATGCCATTACGGTGAAGAATGCTGAGCCACTGCCTAGGATAGACGATCTCTTAGATCGAGTGCAGGGGGCGAAGTATTTCTCCAAGATAGATTTGAAGTCCGGATATCATCAGATAGAGGTACATCCTGATGATCAGTACAAGACGGCCTTTCGGACTAGATATGGGCACTACGAGTTCATAGTGATGCCCTTTGGACTAACCAATGCGCCAGCTATGTTCCAGCGCTGTATGAACGATTTGTTTAGGCCGTGGTTAGACAGGTTTGTTGTAGTTTATCTAGATGATATTCTAGTGTTTAGCAGGACCCTCGAAGAGCATCAGGGTCATCTCAGGCAGGTCTTGGAGAAGTTGAGGGAAGCTAACTTCAAGATCAATGCAAAGAAGTGTGATTGGGCAAAGACCCAWGTTCTGTACCTAGGCCACGTCTTAGACGGAGACGGCGTTAAGCCAGAAGATAGCAAGATCCCAGCGATTAGAGATTGGCCCACGCCACGTACGCTGACAGAGTTGCGCTCGTTCCTGGGCCTAGCTAACTACTATAGGAAGTTCGTGAGGAACTTCTCCACCATCGCTGTGCCCCTTCGCAGATTGCTGAGAAAAGAGACAATCTGGAAGTGGGACAAGGACTGCACGTCTGCCATGAAGAAGCTAAAGCAGGCATTGATAGAGTATCCGGTCCTTAAGGTCGCCGGTCCGTCCTTGCCTTTTGTCGTTACCACGGATGCTAGCCAGTACGGCATAGGCGCAGTGTTACAGCAAGACGATGGCAATGGCTATAGCAATGGCTATAGACCTGTAGAGTTCATGTCCGCCAGGATGCCTTCAGAGAAGGTCGCGACATCTACCTATGAAAGGGAACTCTACGCTCTCAGGCAAGCCTTAGACCACTGGAAGCACTACTTGCTTGGGAGGCACTTCAAAGTCTATTCTGACCATGAGACATTACGATGGTTAAAGACGCAGGCCAAGATGACACCTAAGCTTGCTAGGTGGGCCGCAGAGATAGATCAGTATGACTTTGAGCTCAAGCCTGTCAAAGGGAAGTACAACGTAATCGCGGATGCTCTGAGTAGGAGAGCGGATTACTTTGGGGCAATAGTACATTACCTCGATATAGGGAAGGACCTGCAGCAGAGGGTTAGAGAAGCTTACGCGCAGGACCCTGAGCTCTTTAAGAAAGTCAAGGAGGCCCCAGAGACTGAACCGAATTACCGCACTACCGAAGGGTTGCTTTTTGAGAAGACTAATGTGTCTGACCGCCTATGCATCCCCAATAGCGAAGAGATTCGTAGTCTGATTCTGGGCGAATGCCATGACACAGAGGGTCACTTTGGTTGGCAAAAGACTTTAGCCAATCTTATGCGTGCGTATACCTGGCCAGGGATGAAGAATGACTGCGTAGAGTATGTTCGCAGTTGCAAAGTCTGCCAGCGTAATAAGAGTTCTACGTGCGCCCCCCTAGGTCTTCTCAGACCCTTGCCCATTCCGGATCAGCCGGGAGACTCAGTGTCAATAGATTTCATGGACACTCAAGTCAAGACCAGGCATGGCAAGAGCCAAGTCATGGTCATAGTTGACCGCTTTAGCAAGTACGCAGTTTTTGTTCCTTTGCCTTCAGAGGCGCGTACTGATTTAGTCATACAGAGGTTCTTTGACTGTTGGGTTAGTGAGAACGGAATCCCGCTGTCAATAGTTAGTGATAGAGAGTCGTTTCACCAGCCAGAACTGGCAAGAACTCGTGGGAGTGTATGGATCTAAGTTATTGATGTCGTCCGGCCGCCATCCAGAGACTAACGGTCAGACGGAGCAAATGAACAAGATCCTACAGCAAGTTCTGCGCATGTAYATTAGGCCGGATCAGATTAACTGGGATGAGAAGTTGCCCAAAGTAGCTAGTGCGTACAATAATAGCGTGCATCTGTCTACATGTCGCACTCCCAACGAACTGCACAAGTCCTTTAGACCGCACAGACCGTTTGAGGGACTCAACCGGGATCAGATTCACAGATTGTCGCCCGGGACCCGGGAGTTTGCTGTGCAACACGAGAGAGAACTAGCTACCGTTGTAGAAAACCTCAGGAAAGCCCGGCATAAGATGATAGAGCAAGCGAACAAACATCGTCGTCCTTCACAGTTCCAAGTAGGCGACTTAGTCTGTGGGTTAGTTCCAAAGAGTTTGCGCCTGAGGAGAACATCTCGCAAAAGTTATTGCCCACATATAGAGGACCGTGGCCTGTTCTAGAGGTCAAGGGCGGCGAAGATGGACCGTCCTATACCATAGAGCTACCAGCACACCTCCACACTTACCCAGTTTTCCATGCGTCAAAGTTGTTACCTTGTCAAACAAGTGATCAGTTTCCATCCCGTAGATCGATGATCCCACCTGATATGGATGGAAGATATGACCTAGATGGTATAGTGGCTGAGGATGTCTTCAAAACTGGAGGTAGAGGTCGTCCGCAGAAACAATACAAGGTTCATTTTAGCTATCAGGAACCGGAAGACGACCGCTGGTTTACAAGATCTGAACTCCTAGAGACAACTCCCGATATAGTCCGGGCCTATGAGAGACAACAAAAGGGTAAAGGTCCTGCCTTGGACTGAATTTTTCTCGGAGGACCTCGAATATAGGGCGGCGGGAGTGAAACGGTAATCACCAGTTCGCAGTAGCGAATGCAGATCCCAGGGCTCGATCCCTAGTTCCCTATCTTACTTGTGTACAGTATTGATGTCAACCCGTAGACTTGAACCCGCGACCTGTAGGATCGCCAGTGGTAGGCAGGGTTTCATAGGTCACAGCTTAGAAGGGAATCGAACTGTAGACCTGTAGGGTAGGAGTCTAGACAGTTCCAAAGTTGTAGCTGTAGGATGCCTGAAGAGTCAAGGTCGTAGCTGCTACTTACCTGAAAGGGCAAAGTCGYAGCTGCTACARTACCRAAAGGCCAAGTTYRAGACTTCTAGAAGTGGCCTTTCGGAGTTGGCCTGTGTTCAGCAGAGGCAAGTGGTCAAGTGGTGGTAGTCCACCTAGCCCAGTCAGCAGTCCCAGTTAGTCAGTCCGGTCCTGATCAGCAAGTACCGTCTGGGACTGTGTGCACATCGTGGGCCAAGGGATACAGGGCAGACCAACGCAGCRCMGAAGTATAAATCAAGAGGCTGCGTCCAGCCATTCATTCATTCCTGCAGATGCCATGCRGAAGCGCTGCCCCAGCAGCTTGTGCGAGGAGGTCTRCAGTGCGCCCGAAGACGAAGAGGGCAGTGAAGTGTAGTGTAGCGATAGGATAGTGGCAGCCATAGCTGCCATAGCTCTAGTAGCGTGTGTGTGTGTGTGTGTGTTGCGTGTAGAGTGTTGCGTGTAGAGTGTTGCGTCTCGGACATCCAGGGTGATCCAGAGTGCGAACAGTGAGTTGTGTGGGCGCTCAGTCGCCATAGCCAGTTGAAGAGAACTCCTACCTGGTTACGATATCTTGAGTACTGTGTGGGCGCATGTCGCCAGTTTGCTGTTTCGCTGTTTGCATGCATGACAAGTGTGAAGAAGTCGAGTCTGATTGCACAATGTACAGTCCACTGAGAATCTGCAGGCTTCATTACATACTTAACCCCCCGGGGAGAGCGGACCTCCACGCCCATACTTCATTTCCTGGTAATGAACCAACAGATGAAGTGGGTGTAGAGAAGAGGAGAACCCGAGAGACTCGCGGGGTAACCTATGCCCCTGATCAAAGTTGCGAACAGCAAGGTGAGGAGGAGGTAACCTCAAAGTGTCAGCTGGTCTCGACTGCACACCATTTCTAGACTTCTGCATGTCATCCTTGCGCAGGGGTGATGCTAATCCTCTCTTGTATCATTCCAATTTTAACGGATGTCCTGAAGGACAGCTGTTTTCAGGTGAAAAGTTTGTTTTTTTCCCGAAAATAAAATAAGTGAAGGACATCTGTTTTCGGGTTCGCATTCACTTATTTGGAGTTATTTCTGGGGGGGGGATCAAACTTTTCTCCTGTAGGCTGTTGTTCATTTTTCCCGAATTTCTCCAAAGTTGTTGATTAACTTTCTGCTGCTATTTCGGTAGTTTCTATTTCCCCCCCTGCTTTACTTCTCTATTAACGGGATTTATTGAAGGGCGATAAATCATGGGAAATTTATCGTCTGAAATTGCAGTTGCTTAAACTTGCTTCCCAAAATTTCCCTTGCCTGACAGAGCTGATTTGCCTCCCTTGCTCCCGTTGCATTTCATGCTGCAGGCAGGTAATTCTTCCTTGGTCACAATATTTCCTTTTTCCCGGACTTTCAACGATGCATCCTACCGTCTTCACCCGAATATAACACCCGGTCCAGTGTTGCACACCCCGACCGTTGGCGACCCTTGACTGGTTGGCTGCCGACCCGCCGACGCTGGTCGGCACCTACTGGTCGGGGATCATCGGCACCCTGCAACCTAATAACCCCACGAACACCCCATACCAACCCCAAATACCCCCATACACCCCCCCCAACACCCACAAACCGCCCCCCAACACCCCCATACCACCCCCAGTACCCCCTATACCACCCCTATACCCCCCTATATCCCCCTATACACCGCTCCCCCAACCCCCCCCATTCCCAAAAAATTCTCAATGGATTTGGGCTGTACTCAGCAAGCGCAGTACAGCTTCCAACTCAGATCTGAAAAAAATTTAGTGGATGGTTGTTTTCTGACTGGTCGGCAGACCACGGACTGGTCAGCCCTACTGGTCGGCTGCAATATGGGCGGTGGTCGGGGTCGGTGGTCGGCAGGGATGCAACCATGGCCCGGTCATTATAGCTGTATTTGGCACAACTTTCAACCCAGATACGGCAATAATTACCAGGCGTTCTTTTTTTTTTTTTTTTTTTCAATAAAACAGAACCTTAGTGCAAGGAAGATGAGCAATAGCGAACTTCAGCAATCAAACGGCATCATACATATGAGTCCAGATAGCAGAATTGCATCACGAGATTCACCAAATAAGAACACTCCAAGAGTTCATAATTGACAATGCTGAAATACACCCATCATCATCATCAACGAAGGACCAGAGTTGATATCCTATCTGGCGCTCGGCGCCCAGACTACTTGTGGCAGATCCTATCTAGCCTATACTACAATGCCGAAGTTGACAACAACAGCTCCCCCGAAGTACGAGCATACAGCGACCAATGTCGCACGCTTCCAGCACCAGGTATGTCTCTCGCCTTACTCACAACCTCGTTCCCCAACACACACATGCCTCTTGCACCCAAGGACCACCCTCCGCCACATCCAGCTTACAGCAGCGCAGCTCGGCTATGGCTGCCTGCTCCTTCCCTGCTCGCCCGTGAGCGCGTAGGCGCCAGCCAGCAAATAGCGCAGCAGCGCTTGCGCAGCATGCAGCCAGCACCCGAATGCCGAATGAGGAGGCAGGCCCTTTGCTATATCGAAGTGGCCTGCCTGCATCCAGTCCCAGGAAGCTTCCAGTAGGCCCCGGCAGCCTGAGGCCCAGCACGTTCGAGAACAGGCCTTGGGCCTGAGTTGGTTGCATGCGCCCAAATGCCTTTGGCCTGTGTTCGGCACAGTACCCGTATCCAGCCCAGGGCCTGCTTTCCATACATTCACACAGGCGGCCCAGGGCCTGGGTTTTCTCAACCAACTGGCGCTGCGCAGCTGCCTGAGTTTCCTTGAGTTGCGCAGAGGCCAAAATAAGGCCCTGAGGGGCCTCGTCGAGCCTGCCTTCACTTAGGGCGGCCGACAGGCTCCCAAAAAGAGGCTGAATGGGGCTCATAGAGGCAGTGGCCTCACATTAGGGTTCTGGCTTCTTTTCCATTCTGGGGAGCATCAGTCCGGTTCCTATTCCACCGGCAAGTCATAAAAGAGTACAAAGAAAACTCACTCACGCTCCTCCCCCTTACGGTGTGAAGGCCCAAAGGACAGCATTGATTACCTCCTGGAGGAGGGATGTACCACCCTTGACCCCTGCCTAAGTTAGCCTGTTCTATTGTGCCTCTGTCCGTTTTTCTACTTGGACCCTGTCCAACCTGTTCCTCTCAGCTTCTACGCTGTTGGGTTTTCCTTGGTTGCTAGAACTGTTGTTCAGGTCTTTTGCTCGGGTTCTATGAAATTTTCCCCTTAGTCTTCCTGCTGCAATACCCTTGGTGGAGCGCTAGTATCTGTCCGGCCTTCCTCTCTATTCTCATAAGAGTCTACTTGCTGTTCGGCTTGTCTACTTAATTGTTGGATCTCGTCTTGTTTGTTCTGTCGTTTCTAATATCCGAGCTGTTTGAGGCTGTTTTAGTTACTACCCTAGGTCTTGGTTGCCCTGGATCCGTGCTATTCTTGAGTCTTATGTCCTAGATATGGTGTGTGTGTTCCTATCGGCTGTAGTTTCTTGTGTTGTCGTACTCTAGTGGCTGGTATGTTTGTAATTACAGTAGCTCCCCAAAAACTCATTTGTCCTCTCTAATGGTCTATTCTGAGTGCATGTTGACTTCTACGGATTCAGGGATACTATTGGTTGAGTGGTCTTGAGAATGATGATTTGGAGGTGTTTCCTCCCATAATCGGAATACTATGTTTGGGCCTCGGACGAGTGTGGTTTTACCTCTGGCTAGAAAATTCTTTTCGAAGTTGTGTTGATGCTCCTTGGCTTTGTCTTTGTCTTCCCTCATCTTCCTTCTTACCTTGCGCCATAGGTCCCAGTATTCGGTTTCTACTTCTTGTTGGATGAATCCACATGCTTCTTGGGTGTGCATTTTTTGCCTTTCTATAGTTTCCTGACATCTTTTCCTCCATACCGTCCATAGTGTGGCTTTTCTAAGTATTCTGAAGAGGTTGGATTCTAGTGGGCTCCAGTGTTCTGGGCTATTAAATCCTAGGAGTAGCAACGTGTTGTTGTTTGGGAGGGTTGTGTCTGTTAGTGTGTTCCATATACTTGCTGCTGTCTTTTGCCATAGTGGTTTCATTCTAGGACACAGGAGAAAGCAGTGGTATAAGTTCTCTATTTGACCGTTGTTGCAATTAGCACACAGTTCTTTTAGTGGGCTTCTATCTTCCTTTTTCCTTCTCACATTTAGCCATTGGTTCAGTGGGACTTTCGTAAAGAATTAGCCATTGTAGGCTTCTAAATTTGGGTGTGGGTAGATGCTATTCTGTCCCAGGGCATTGAGTGGAATGTTTCTGGTTCTACTCTTAGGTGTCTTTTCCAACGTTCCGCTATTATTGGATCTGGGTTTGTAGAGCGGCGTCTCAGCCTATAGCCTAGCCGGGTTGTACATTGTATTAAGTTAGTTTTGGTGTGAATTCCTGAAGTTCCTTGCTTTCGGTTCCATGCCCATTCTGCTGGGTCTACCTCTAGATTCTCTAAAGGCATTTGAGGGAGGTAGATGGTTAGGTCTTCATTTTCTATTACTCTTATCTTTCTTAGGTTATCCTTGCAGACAGAAACTTGTGATGTTGGGTTTTTGCTAATCTTGCTGTGGTCAGATCCAGGTTCTTCTACTTCATGCATGGTAAATATATACCAGTTTTGTTTGTTTTCCTCTCTGCCCCAATATGCTAATGCGTGTTTGTGTTGAGTTTCGTTTGGTATTACTGCCCAGTCTCCTATGGCCCACTGCTAGTCTGTTTTTAGTATTGGGGGGAATTTTTTGGGATGGCTGCTGTGATTTCCTGTAGGTTCTGGTTTAGTCCGTGACAGCCTTTGAGGTGTTGTCTGAGTCGTTTGTCGTGTTTCCATTCCTTCGTGTTGTCATCCCAGATGTGCTTGATCTGCCATATTCCTTTTTCTAGCCAAACTCCCCATTTTGTGTCCTTTGAGGTGAGCGTGAATGGGCTTCCGTCTGCCTTTGTTATCCATTGGTTGCAGAATAGGGGCTGTCTTAGCACTTACTCCTTGTTGTTTGGTTCCCTGACTTTGGCTGGGAAAATCTCTCTCCAATCGCGAAGGATCCCTTTCCAGAACCTCAATCTTGGGTTTATCGAGGTCTGGTTTCCCCTTTTCATTGACCATGATTTTCTCATTACCCAGAAGCAGCCTTCCATGTTGATTGGAGTGTTATATACCGGTAGTTGTTGTAGTCCGTCTAGGGCTAGTGTTCTCCATGGCAAGCCGGGTCTAGTGACAAGTTTCAGGATCCATTTGGTCTGAAGAGCTTTTATTTGGGTTATGGGGTCGAGGACTCCCAGTCCTCCCTGGCTTTTTTTTCTAATGATGTACTGCTGCAATCAGACTCGACTTATTCACACTTTTCATGCACGTGGACAGCAGAACGACAAACTGGCGACATGCGCCCACACAGAACTCAGAGATATGGCTTCCAGATAGCAGTTCGCTTCCACTGGCTATGGCGACTGTGCGCCTCAAACAACTCACTGTTCACACTTCTGGATCACCCTGGATGTCCCACACACATCACTCTGAACACCCA